AAGAGTAACAAGTATTTTAGGGGGTGGGGTTGAGACAGGGTTTCTGTGTGTAGTTTTGGTGCCTGTCCTGGATTTCACTCTGTAGACCAGGCTGGCTTCAAACTCATAGAGATCCTCCTGGCTCTGCCTCCCGAGTGGTGGGATTAAAGGCGTGTGCCACCACCGCCCAGCAGAGTAACAAGTGTTCTTAACCACTGAACCATCTTTCCAGCACCCCTTTTCCTTATTTTGTCAATTGGCTCTTGATGGAAGTGATTTTGTTCTCCCAAATGCTCCATTACATGCTGCTTTGCCACAAGTCAAAAAGCAATAGGACCCCTCTATCATAGACTGGAGCTTTTAAAGCCATGGGCCAAAACCACATGTTTTGATTAACTCAAGTGTTTGTTGGGGTAATCTAACACAGATATATTAGTGAATAAAAACCAGCATTCAATCGTTAAGATATAGTGAGTTAATAATGTAGCACCGACTGTGGATTTTATTTGGCACACTGATACTGTGCCTTTTCTAGACTAGAAAGATCTGCTGTAATTCTGGTAACAGCATTTTGTGCTGCTGCATTGTTCTTTGAATAATAGTATAAGAAATGGCTGTGAAGGTTTGTGAGGAAATAGTCAACCCTGAACACAGGGAGGCAATGTTGCCTAAGAGTCAGAAATTCAGGTTTCTTATTGCTGCTTGCTACTTGTGTTAGCCTCTAGACAATTGGCATGGTAAGTTATTTAGCCCCTTAATGACTCTCTCCCTTCATCTTTGAAATTAAATTAAATTAAAATTTAAAGCCTATTTCAGATGGTTGCCATGACAGTTTAGTGATAAAACATGTGCCAAGTAGCTGTTGTAGAACTTGGCTTGTGATCAACAATAGTCCCAGTTTTGTTGGGTTTGCTCAGTGTTGGTCCCTGTGGAGGGTTGCTGTGGATTCAAGCTCTTCTACCATGTAGAAAGCACTCTGTGTCTGCTTAGCCAACCCAGAAAGTAATCACAGGTTCTTTCCCATGTGTCATCCACATAGTGCCTTTTTTTCCCATACATCTTCCTTGTAGTGATGGGAAAGCTGAAACACCATTGAGAGATATTACCTTCTGGCTTTATTTTTTTCCTTTAAGGACACAACATTAGCTCTTGTCTGTTTTTTGAAGGTGGTATTGTTTAAGCATGCTAAAGAAGTTTTGTTTTCATTTAATTTGAATTTTCATTTCTCCCTCAAAGTTTTATCCCCATATTTTCAGGTATAGCTAATCATCTCCTAAGTGTCTTAGTTACCTTTCTATTCCTGTGGAGATACTCCATGATCAAAGCACCTTATAGAAGAAAGCATTTAATTTAGGATTGACAGGATCAGAGGGTAGCAGAGTCCATGACCATCATTGTGGGGAGCATGGCAGCAGGCAGGCAGGCAGACATGGTGTTGAGGCAGTAGCTGAGAGCTTACATGTTGAGAATAACAACCATGAGGCAGAGAGAGAGAGAGAGAGAGAGAGAGAGAGAGAGAGAGAGAGAGAGAGAGAACTAAGAGAGAACTAAGAGAGAACTAAGAGAGAACTAAGAGAGAACTAAGAGAACTAACTGGAAATGGTATGGGCTTGTGAAACCACAAAGCCCAACCCCAGTGACTCCAACAAGGCCGCATCTCCTCCAAGGGTATACTTCCTAATCCTTTTCAATTGTTTCTACCAAATGGGGATCAAGTATTCAAACACATGAGCCTATGGAGACAGTTCTTTCAGCGTAAGTAGTTTTTAAATTATATAAGAAAAGGATTTGTTTTGTTAGGTTGCTTTTAAATACACATCTGGATTTCTGGGTCATTTTGGCCCAGTTTCCATGGGATTTAGGGGTTTATGAGCAAACATGCCAAGGCTATTTGATGGGCAGGTATTCATGTTCTTGACTTTATGGTATGAATGTAAGATAGCAGAGAAAGGGCCATGGACCCCAAAAACTTGCCATTTTACAAACTGGATAATTCTGGTCCAAAGCAACAAATTAAAACAAAATAAGAAATTTTGATGCTGAAAATGATATCTTCCATTAAAGACTGACTTTGCTTCTAGTAGGAAAATTGACGTGAACACTCACATAGATGTCAGCTGTTTGTCAAGGCCAAGGTGTTGCCTATTTGCTCTTCCCATCACATTTCCAAAGAACTAGCAAATTCTACCATTGTGAGAAGCTCTGGATTTTGTGATAAAGAGAGGGAAAGACGTGTGTCTAAACCTGATCTAAAAAGGGTTTTCTGATTTTTACCTGCCTTCTGAGGACAGTGGATCTGAGAATTGTCAACCTTAAGAGGAAACTTACAAACGTTGTTCTTTTCCTGTCTCTTACTTCTGAACTATTTTTCCTTTTGTTATTGTTTGATCATTTTCTTCAACAATAATTCTTGATGTAAATAGAAGCAGGAAGCAATTTGGTTCATTCTTGTATTAATCCAAGTGCTCTCAGCTTTCATATAGGTCTTATAGCTGAGTTTGGGGACCAGTATTGGCTGGTGTATTTGTAGCAACTATATGTATTAATTTCCCTTTCTAATTCAATTTTATTTACAATGTTTCTTCCTCATGAGTGTTTTTTGAGGACAATACCTCTCCTAAAAACTCTTTACCTCCCTAGGTACTTTTGTATGAATTAACTAAACCTATATTTAACTCAACAAAACACTTCAGTTCATTTTCTTAATTGTGTGAAAATAGATTTGTTTTTTTTTCAGTGCTAAAGAATTCTTCCTCTATCATGTTAAAATCCAGCTTCCTAATTTCTTTGCTATCATTAAAGGCCTAAATAATAACCAATGAGAAGTTATCCACAAGAGTGAAGAAACTGATTGTGAAAGCTGCCTCAAATCGGGGAAAGTATGACCACTTTTCATATAGGCAGTTCTGGTTTGGACACATTGGTGTATGTTTTCTGATAGTGACATTAAAAAAAAATTCTTTTTATTTGTGTGTGTGTGTGTGTGTGTGATGTTTCTGCTGGTGCTTACAGAGGCCAGAAGAGGGTGTTAGATCCCTTGGAGCTGGAGTTAAAGGAGGTTGTGAGCCACCTAGCATACAAGTACATCTGAGTGTACTGAGAACTGAACTCTGGTACTCTGGAAAAGCCAGAAGTGCTCTAAGCTGCTGAGCCATCTCTCCAGTCCTGAGATTTATCTGTCTCACCTCATATGCACGTGCACATAATTAACACAGTGTAAACCATCTCATCTGGTTAGCTAAACTAAACATTTGGGCAGATGAGTTGTCCAAAGTTGACATAGAGTAGGCTGGATATGTAGCTCAACTGGTAGAGTGCTGGCCAAGTATGAACAAAAACCCTGGGTTCAATTGCCAGCACTGTATAAACCAAGTATGATGGTGCACAACTACAGTCCTAGAACTTGACAAATGGAGGTAGAAGGATGAGAAATTCAAGATTATCTTTGGCTGCTTTGAAGCCAGCCTGGGCTTCATGAGACTCTATCTCAAAAACATGCAAAGTTGGCATGTGCTGTGTGATACAAAGGGAAAAGAGCTGTTGTATGATTATTTGTTATCCCAAGCCAGTCATGTTGCAATGACTCCCCCAAACTGACAACAGCTTTCCTAACTTCTGCTAGTACATGTGGTAGATTTCTGCAGCAGAAGATCCTTTATTCAAGGCTGCTGTGATAATGCCTCAGGCAGTTTTGGAACCATTGCTCTGGGAGCCAGAAATAAATAAACCCGTTTTGTAGCCATTTATCTCTTTCACAGAAACAATATATGCAATGGTTAATTGAGTGCATAAGTCTTTATTTGTAGAATGCTTTGTCAAGCATTATCTCAAAAGAGGCATTTTCAAACACAAAAAAAGGTCAACCACTTGTAATAAAAAGAAACAATGACAAAATCCACTGCACATGGTTTTTGTAGATATGTGAATTAACTATTGGCATTTTGGCCCACTGAATACAAATAGAAAACAACTAATATCAGTGTTATTGATTGATAGCATCTTTATATTTCTATTAATTTCAACTCATTTTAAAAATGGGTTAGTTTCTCTTATTTTATTAATACTATTTTGTATTATGTAGGAAGTTAACACTTTTCTATCTTCTTAAAATGAAGCTATTTTTCCGCTCATATATTGATGAATTATAGGATATTATGTACCAAAAATATCACTGCCTTCTTCAGTTTATTTACTCAATACATTCTATACCCACAGTGATGAAGCAAAGTACCAGGCGCATCAAAGAATACAGTTTGGGGATGAAGAGATGGCTCAGTGGTTAAGAGCACTGGCTGCTCTTCCAGAGTATCCAGGTTTGATTCTCAGCACCTACATAGCAGTTCACAATCATCTGTAACTCCAGTTCAAGGGATCTGATGTCTTCTTCTGACCTCCTTGGGCACTGCACACACGTGGTGCACCTACATATATGCAGGCAAAACACTCATATACATAAAAATATAAGAATATGGTTTAAAGGGTTTCTTATTTCCCATTTCCAGAATGTTCTTTTCTATCTCAGTTATTTTACTTCTGTTCTATAAGGGCTTCTTTTCCATCTGTTCAAATTCTACTCACTCTCTTAGAGTTAAGTCAAGTGTTTTCTTTCTTTCTTTCTTTCTTTCTTTCTTTCTTTCTTT